AAGTCGTAAAAAAAAAATTTTTTTAAAGGAATATAGAAAACAATTGCATATTAGAACAAAAATACTAAAGGGATATTTTAAAGTAGAAATCAGAGCTATATATATATTTGAAAATGTGGTAGAACTGATACAATTCTCAATAAGCCTGATTATCTTTTTTCCTCCTGAGTATGCAAAGACTAGAGGAACCACATTCTCTCAAAAAAGGAGGATTCAGAAAATATCAACTACTCATTTAAATTTCAAACAAAGCAGGGAAAATAGTAAATGAATGAGAAGTAAGGAACTATAAATCCTCCAAATAAAGAGGGAAGAAAATTCGATATGAACTTCCTATAGCAGTGCAGGCACTTGAGTCACCCTTGAAATATGCAAGAACCCTACATCCTGAGCTAGCTAAGAAAACATGGCAACTAAGCTCCGTTTTACAGGGGTGTTAGAAGATGTACAACAGCCATTTGATATAGAACAGACCCAGTCAGCAGTACAGAAGTTCACAGCTTCAGCAAAGTTGTAGCCCTGATTAAATCCAGAGTGATAGGCACGAGGAAACGTCACAACAAACTCGCCAGCACACTGATTGGTCCTGTAGACCTAAATGCAAATTGGGAACAGGGATTTAAAAAAAAAAAAAAAAGGAGAGAGAGAGAAAGACATTATCAGTCAGCTAGTTTCAAAAGGACTTTCTAACATTGAAAAAGATAAATTAAATAACAGAAATAACTCTCAGGATTTAAAGAGACCAGAATTTGACATTCTTGAAATATTCACTGATATAACTAGAAAAATTAATCATGATGATCAGAATTAGCAACCAAAACAAATTCCCAAATAGAAAACATTATTCTTATAGTACTTCTAATTTCCTAATTTGCTCTAATTATTACAATTAAGAAAATGTCTAATTTATTCCTATGCTATAAATAGTAGTAAAGAATGGAATTTCTTGTTATCTTGATATATCTGGATAATTTTTTGAAAATAAAGTTGATACACTTATATTGCGATATCTCTAAGTCAACTTCTATCCTGAATCTTACTGTACTTTACTATACTACTATGAGTGAAGTGGTACCATAGGATAAGCACTCGACAGCAAGGTCAGTTTAAACTGTAAGGTCAATGTGGTCACCAGCTACTCCTTGGAAAGCCAAGACTGAGTCACTATGAGTCAGAATCAACTTGACAGCACTGAACAACAAGAACAACAATGTGTCTTTTATACCAACAATCAAAAATATAACACAGGACTGGGCAACATTTAACTGTGTTATACCTAAAGTTTCCGTAAGTAGAAGCTAACTCTGAAGCATCTAGTAAGTCTCTTTTAAAAGGTCCAAGCTTCTAGTATAAATTCATTCTTTAAAGACAAAATAACATAAGTAATTTTACTGCATCCACTTTTTCATTCAGGTTATGCTAAATATGGAGTCCTGGCGTAACACTGAAGGATAAGCACTGGAGTGCTAACCCAAAGGCCAACAGTTCAAATCCACCAGCTGCTCCTCAGAAACCATATTCAGGGTCCTTATGAGTCATAGCCAACTCAACAGTATTTAACAATAACAATGCAAAACATTTGATTATAGAAAATTTATTAAATTCATACTTTATCAGATATTACTAGCTTAAATGTGAGAATCATTTACAAAACAAAATTAAAAAGTAAAAAAAGCATTCATGTGTTATTTTTATTTCATTATCTCATGTGTTGCTGTTTTTACACTATAAAACCTTTCTATACGATCTCCAAAAAGATAGAGCTACCACTTAAAATACCTGTACTTTGACTATACAGGAATAATAAAGAAATGTTCTGTTTAAATATATATATAATACTTTACTGAAAACAGGCAATTACTTGAATGGTAAGTATTTGAAAATTAATATTTATACTTTAGAATATTGTGGTTGTTGTTAGGCGCTGTTGAGTCAGTTCCTACTCATAGAAACCCTATACACAACAGACTGAAACACTGCCCAGTCCTGCGCCATCCTCACAATCATTGTTACTTTTGAGCCATTGATGATACCATTATGCCAATCCATCTCGTTAGGGGTCTTCCTCTTTTTTACTGTCACTCCACTTTACTATGCAAAATGTCCTTCTCCAAGGACTGATCCTTCCTGATAATATGCCCAAAGTACAAGAGACAAAGTCTTGCCACCCTGACTTCTAAGGAGCATTCTGGCTGTCCTTTCATGACAGATTTACTTGTTCTTCTGGCAGTCTATGATACTTTTAATATTCTTCTCCAATACCATAACTCAAATGCATCAATTCTTCTACAGTCTTTCTTATTCACTGTCCAACTTTAACATGCATATGAGGTGACTGTGAGAAAATACCAGGCAAACCTTAGTTCTCAAATTGACATGTTTGCTCTCAAACACATTAAGTAGTCCTTGTGTAACAGATTTGCTTAATTCAATACATCATTTGATTTTTTTGACTGGCTGCTTCCAAGAGTACTGATAGTGGATTCAAGCAAAATATAGTATTTGACAGCGGCAATCGTTTCTCCATTTATCATGATGTCATTTACTGTTTCAGTGGTGAGGAATTTCATTTGGTTTCTTTTTTTCACATTGAGGTTTAAACTATAATGAAGGCTGTAGTCTTTGATCTTCATCTATAAATATTTTAAGTCCTATTCACTTCCAGCAAGCAAGTCTGTATCATGTGCATATTGCAGGTTGTTAATGAGTCTTTCTCCAATCCTAATGCCACATTCTTGTTAATATAATCCAACTTCTCAGACTATTTGCTCAGTATACAGACTGAATAAATATGGTGTAAGAATGCAACCTTGACGCACATCTTTTCTGATTTTAAAGCCATTCAGTGTCCCCTTGTTCTGTTGGAA